TCAGCCTGCCATAACCCATCAACCAACTTTGCCTTTGCCATCAGATGCTGCAGCCTGACAGGGCCCAGCCCTCCCCCAGTCCTGACTCTTGCTGTGCCCAGTCTTTCCCCATCCCTGACTTTTATGCAAACCATTAGGTGTGATTCCTTAGCCTAGTTCAACATAGCCTGCACCCCATCCTGGCTCTCATGCATGTTAGTGTGCTATAATTTGCTCTTTCCTTGCCTGGTAAAACCACTCCAAAGCCAATCTACATACTTAATGCCAAGTGGAGCACCCCTCTTGGCCTCACCAACACTCAGCTTTGATTCACATTCTTATTACCATGAGTGATGGCCCACCAGGGGAGCTTCCCAACTTCCCCCTCTAGATCCACTCCCAGACCTTGATCTCCTGTGTACTAGTGGGTGGTAGGCCCTTACCCTTCAGAGTCTGCCCCAGTGTTGGCCTTTGAGTTGGTCAATTCTTGGGTATATCTATAGCTACTGCAGCTTGGACCAGCCCAACCTGTTACCAACCCCAGTAGCCATGAGTGTTGGTGAGTTCCATGGTTACACTTAGCTGAGCCCATCAGTATCCCCAGCCCTCCAACAAACTAGCTGGCATATCAATACCACAGGGATAAGCCCACAAATCCCCCACAGAATCTGCTCCAAGACTAAATTTTCTCATGTGTTGGTTAGTGTCATGGCCCAGACTGAGGTAGTCCATTGCCTGCTATGACATTCACTGGCAGATACTATGGTTAAGTCCCGCCACACAGGTTTCCCAACCATGATGATCACGTGCACTGATAGATGGTGGTTGATACCAACAAGCCCAACTCACTTTTCCTACATGGAAAGGTGTATTAGTTTGGCCCTAAAAGGTTCTTTGGTTTTCCTCCACCAAACCACCCCATTTAGGGTCTCGTATTTACCTACAAGTGCAGTAGCCCGGTTGGCAAATGTTCACCAGAAGTCACTCCGCACCTGATGTTCTCCCTCAGCAGTCCTTCCTTCACTCATCCCTAGAGCCCTATCCCTGAACAATCCGCAAACACCTTGCCTGCTGACTCACACTTGCACATCTGGCAGTGTGCCAGGGCTTGCCCCATGTATCTTAAAAACGAAAAAAAAAAATAGAATAAACAACTAAGCTGGCACACAGGTATGGGTAACATAAAATTGGCATTAACCAGGCCCAGGATACCTGCCAGGTATTAGCTTCTTTTCTCCCAGCTGTGTAATACTTGCCTAGGTAGAATGCAACTTATCTGCCAACAGCTAGGGAGGACTCATGGTAAATTATTCTAAAGCCTGCAAGACCTGAGGGTGGCACTGTGCTGTGACAGAAAAGGAGCCACATCTCCATGGTCACCTGTTCGATTCATGTCTGACTCAGCTCCCTGCTAACAGCCTGGAACAATCTCTGCCATGCATGTGGGAGACCTGGAAGAGGTTATTGGTTCCTAATTTTGGTCTGGTCTTATCCTTCTGTAACTCTGACTTTTAAATATGTAAATAAACATTAAAATGAACAAAACAAAACAAAATGAAATGAAACAAAAATATATCAGGCTTTGGCAGATAAGCCTAAATGTACATTGCCAACATCCCTTATGAGTGCTAGTTTGAGTCCCAGATGCTCCACTTGTGATTCAGCTTGCTGCTAATGTCCTGGGGGAAAGCAGTGGAGGATGGTCCAAGCGTTAACAGCTTAAAAACAAAAACAAAATCCTTGAGGCTTTGATAAAGCATGGACACATTGCACTGCTCTTTTGATGAATGTGTCCAACAAAACAAATAAAATTCTAATATTAATGAATACTGTACATAAAGTATCATATTATGACGCCTAACTGGACACCAACCAACTCAGATGCACTGGAGGTAAAGATTTCAATAGCCTTCTGTAGTCTCTGTCACATCTGTGGACAGTGCTTGAGCCTAAGTGGTTTCATTGCAGATGTTTAAATATGAGGTAAGGGCAAGAGGACAGATTCTAATTCTTGGTTTTAGTCTGTTTTATTTCCACAGTAATATGATCCTCCTGATTATTTCCTCCCTTTGAAGCAGATCTTTGTATATTGCAGAGAGCAGAATTAGATGATGATATGGAGCTTCATGTTATAAGAAATCTGGACATCAGCAAACATATCATTACTGTGATGTTTTCAAAAGGGTAGGACTTGTAAGCAAGATTTCTTAATATATAGTTTAGCACTTTAAAATATTATCAAGGTCAGCATTCATGTGCCATGGCTTAATCCACTGTTTGTGATACCTGGCATCCTTGTGCAGCATTGGTTCAGTTAGAGTAACCAATCTTCTGATTCAGTTTCCTGCTAATGCACTTGGAAAAGCAACGGAGGATAATCCAAGCGCTTTGACCCTTATCACTCTAATGGAAGATGTGGGTGGACTTTCCATCTCCTGGCTTCAGCCTTGACTAACTCTAGATTCTGCATTCATTTGGGGTCAGCCATGTGATGGAAGACACTCTGTGTGATTGTGTGTGAGGGCCACAAGAATGAAAGCTTTCTCTTTGTTATCTTTCTCATTCTCTATTACTATGCCTTTAAAAAAAATCTTCAAAAATATTTAAAAATCGTTAGCAGGAAAAATATACATTTTATACAGAATATGTATATAGTTACAATAAATTGTGAGATTTCGGATTTACACAAGATATTGTTTATCATTTTATTACCTGCCCATTCTTCTCATGCACTGAAAGTGAGTAAAATATCATCTGCAAAGTCATGTTTCCAATAATGCATAACATAAAAAGATACGCTAGTAGAAATAGATAAAATTTACTTTTTTGTTTATTTTTGAACAGTGCAAAACCTAGTTGATATCTACCAGTACACTGGTTGGAATTTCAGAAGAAGAAAACAGTGTATAGAGAACATATTACTTGATCAATCTGTCTTTAAACACATTGGTAGAATTTTAAAGCCCTTACTTTCAGAAGAACCAATCAAGGAACTTAATTTTGGGAGTGAGAGAAGATAAGCTCTATTTAAGACAAAGAAGAACAATGAAGCCTATTTAGATTCACCACACCATTGCTCCTTTTCAAAGTTTAGTTTGCCTTCATACAAAGTAACACCCTGGCACAAACATTAGAGTTGAGTTTGACAAGGCATCCCTTTCATCCCTCACTGCCAAAACTCTTCAATAATAATGAACAACCATCCCAGGCTTCTATTTAATAGTTTAATAATAAACATTGGAATAACTCTGGGCCTCAGCTGCATTTCTAGCCTTCACTGCAGGATGATGAAGTTCTGAATGAGGCTAGCTGAATAGCATTACTGCAGCAAAATGACTACTCAGTTGTCCATTCATAAAAAGCGACTGTCTATGTTAGAATATGCCTGGAAATCTATATAGATGATTCCTATAATAGGTTAGAAAGTAGTTAAGATATAGCATTTTAGTATCTGATAAACACTCTAGAGTATTTTTAATGCATTTCATGTCATTTTGCTTTGTACATCATGTGAATATCCTTTATATTCAGGTAAATAATGAGTCTTCTTATTCAGTGTCTAAAAAATGAAGCAATGTGAATGATATTTAAAAGTTATCACTTCATGAGAATCAAGATGGGGAATAGTGAGGACACAAAAGAACAAATAAAAAAAATCAGTGGAAAGTCTCAATAATAGAATCAAGGAGGTTGAAGAAAGAATGTCAGAATTGGAATATATTTCTTATCACAATAGGGAAACCATCAAAAAGCTGGAAGCAGAGCCATGTCAAGTTAAAAAAAAGTATTCAAGATTTAAGAGACACTATTAAAAGGCCAAATGTGGGTGATGGAGTTCCAGAAGGTGCAGAAAGAGAAACTGGGATTAAGAATGTATTTAATGAAATAATCAAAGAAAATTTATCTAATCTGGAGAAAGAATTGGGTAACAAGATGAAGGAGGGGCACAGAACTTCCAGCAGGGTTGGCCAAAAGCAATCTTCACCATAACATATAATAATCAAGCTCTAGTCAATCAAACATAAGGAAAAGATCCTTAAATGTAGTCATGAAAAAAAAATCAATTGACACAGAGAGGAAAGGCAATTAATTTCATAGCTGATATTTCACAGGAAACTACAAGCCAAAAGAGAATGGAGCAGCATATTCCAGATTCTAAAAGCTAAAAGTTGTCAGCCCAGAATAAAGCACCTAGCAAAGCTTTCCTTTGTCTTTGAAAATGCAATAAAATTATCCACAGTTGTTATAAAAATATACTTCTTCTAAACCTGTCCTACAAAGGATACTTGAAGATGTTCTTTTGAGAGAGAAAAAGGAAATAAAGTTTTGATTCAGAGCTCATAATAACAGAAATGTCTTCTCTCTCATAGCCAATGAAAGAAGTGAGAGTTGCTTTATTTAAATTAATTAAAGGTGAAAGGCAGGCCCAGCATGATGGTTCAATAGCTAAATCCTCAACTTGGAAGTGCCAGGATCCCATGTGGGCTCCAGTTTGTCTCCCAGCTGGTCCACTTCCCTTTCTGCTCCTTATTTATGGACTGGGAAAGTAGCAGAGGATGGCCAGAAGCCTTGGGGCCCTGTACATACATAGAAGACGCAGAAAGGCCATTGGGGAGTGGAACAGCAGATGGAAGATCTTTCTCTGTCTCTGCTTCTCTCAATAAATCTCTTCTGCCTTTCTAATACAAATAAATAAACCTTAAAAAAAATAAAGAATCAAGATGATAACTTCAAGCTTGACTAGTGTTACCTGCCTGGTCACTGGTGTGGAACTTTATGCCCATGAATCTTACATGAATCGTAACTGAAAACTTTTTCTAAGAATTTTCCTAGAAAATGATTTTGTAGATCATCAAATTTAACTCTTATCTTGGAAAAACATTTTCAGAGCATAAGTATTTTTTCCCCATAAATTGTTCTGGATTTATAAATAAGTTATTTATCAATTTTTACCTATCCAGCAATTGAAATACAAATAATCATTTTGAATATCAAGCAGGAATGAACACAGTACAATCAGGAATTCAGAACATTTATTGCAAGAGCTGAATAATTGTAAATAACGTAGAACTGGCAAAGCAGTAACAAGGATAATTGTTTAGATATTTATTCTGTCAAAGTCATCAAACACCCCTCACAAACCGACAAAAATTTACTTCAATAAGCAATGCACCCCTACCCATTATTTTCCATTATATTGTGGAAAAAATGTGAACTGCTATTTACAAAGTAATTTTTTTTTGGTAAGAACAAATTAACTATCAGATTAGCAAATATTTTTTTAAATTTTTTGTTTTATTATTTTTTTTACTTTTAAGTTGATGGTGAACCGTGGCATTAAGATAACTTTCACTTCTTTCAATAAAGACATTTTGTTGCATGCTATTTATTTGTTTAAATCATCTGTCATGCCTTAACAAAAACCTCCTAACAATGTTCGAATTTGGAATTGTTTGCACGTGCAACTGAGATCTTATTAACATTAGGTGTCACTCTGCTGATTTGACCTAAGTGACGGTATGCTGGTACCGGCCAGGCATTGACCAACTATAATAACAAACAGTTAAACAGCAATAATTAGAGATTTATCCCTTTATTTCCCCAACTATCCTACCTGGAGAATGTTCTGTTACATCATGAAGGCACAACACATTAAATATTTTGTGGCTATGGTCTAATAACACTTGTGTTACATTATTGTATATGAGGATCAACACAAACGGCCATTTCAACAAAGTTGTAGACACACATTTGTCCAATTGAAACTAGTTTTGAATAGTGATTTTAATATATACTTACTTTGATACATTAATTTGCATGAATGAAAGGTACAAGATATTATAGCACTTCTGATGGATAATATTTCCCATTACTCTCTTACTTAATAGTACTAATTAAGTGCATTTTCTTTTGCCTACTTAAACATAAGAATATCAAAAACAGGTTCTGCATTATGAAGCGTTTGTGCAAGTCCTCCAATTTTGTGTAGTTTTCATTTTTGTTTTTTATGTAGTTCCCACAACAGAAGCTATTATAGAAGAAGCTAGATTTCAGAACCGTTTTCTTAAAACACAAGTGTTGGATTTCTTTTGAACAATGTGTGTTAAGACAGACTACTAACTCAGAAACACCTCACTAAAAAAAAAAAAAGAAGAAACAGCAAAAAATAAAACATACAAAAGGAAAGAACCAACCATAAACACAGAATTATGCTACAACATTTTTAGGTGAAAGTTATAATTACACAAAAGTTGTTAATAATAACTTGCTCTATTTACAAATACTTTTAACACTGATTGACTTACAAGTGTCCACTAACGTTGTTAACAGCACAATAGGTTTAATGCTTATCTTTTAAAGTTTTGTTTGAAGTATAATGTCAGATATAGTGGTCCCAGCATAAATCAATGACATAAAGAGCACAAATTTCTAACTGGATATATTTGTCAGTCACTCTAATCCATGGAACTTTCTTACTCTCCAAATGCATATTCTATTATTCATAGCAGCAGTCCAGGGTCAAAATAAAATGCAACAATAGTAACAAAAAATTGCACAATGGAGAGATCTCTGGAGAGTTTAATCAACTCTAGCAAACAAGATCACATAGCTAGTTGAACTATCTTCTCTCTGAAGCTATAAAACATTGTGTCCTCCATGGTGCTAACACAAAGTTACGGATATCCCTGCTATAAGGGGCATAGTTGTAGAGATCTATTTAATACATAAAGCTCTGACACACACTGTATTAGCATGTCTATTTAGATTAAAGTTGTTAGGTCCCACATAGGCATTTCTTAGAGCTGGTGCTCCTTGGGACTCTCAATGGCACCTCCTGCTTGCTTGTAAGACTTCAGATTTGCCAGAGGAATGTCTGTCATGTGGCTGCCATTGTTGAAATGGCCTTCATTGGGACCGTACTGCTTACGGTCATTGAACTGATTCCTGTTGCTGTCTTCTTTCCAAGCTCTGGTCAGGGTGTGCCCATTCACAAGCTTGTCCTTCTTTGCCCATTCTTTCTGGGGCGCAAAGGTGGAAAGAGGAGATTTGGGGTGTTGATATGGACCCAAGCCAGGAGGCATCCAGCAATTATCAGAGTGGCCCAGAACCAAGCACTCTTGAGTGCACATCTCTGTAGCCTCAGCCAATCCTCGGGGACCTAGCGGCCCATCTGTGGAGGAAAAGAGACAGAGAGTAAGCAAAGTGACAAGGCTTTTCAATTAAGCGTCTCCCATCTGGAGGTTATGAGAATTAGTCATCTCATTTTTACATAAAAATAGATTAAAGAGAGTATGTTTCATTTTTTAAAAAGATGAATACAAAATGAAATTACTCATTATGGAGGAAAGGTTTATTTCTTCTAATTGAGATACAGGAATGTTACAGAGATATACAGAAAATGGATAGAGATGAATATCAATAAACAGAATCATCACCACTGATTTACAGAAAATGTCTCACATTATGAAAACTTTTGAAAAGTAACTTTACATGAAATATTTACACGTCAATCCTACGACAGAAGTAAGAAAGGAAGCTGCTACTTTCTATATACTTTTTTTTCTGTAGGAAATCCCATAAAATATTTCTGTGACAGTTTTTGAAATTAAATATTTGTAATACAAAGATATGGCAATTAAAACAGTATGGTGTTAGCATTAAAAAGCATCATGGGAAGCACAATAGAGGTCCCAGAAATCAATTCACATATATACATACAGTCAACTGATTTTTTACCGAAGTGTCCATTGTCATACATCTTAAAAAGGATAGACTTTTCTACAAATACTATGGTGAAACTGTGCACATAAAAGTAATGAGTCACAATAAAAACCATTCCAATTACAAACTGGACAAACAGTTTGAGTACACAGATGTGTTCAACTCAAAAGAAGAAACACAAATGGGCAACAAATTCATGAAAGAAAAGTACTAAACATAAGTGGAAAATGCAGACCAAAACCACAAGGAGGGTATAATGTCAATTTTCAAAAAGACAAAAAAAGAAATGCTTGTAAATACGTGGAGAAAGAAGAACCTTTTAATGTTTTTATAATTTTTAAATGATGTATTTATTTCAAACACAGAGTTCTAGAGAGTAAATAGGGGTCCCGGAGAGAAAGAGACCTTCTCTCTACTGGTACACCTTCCAAATGGTCATAATGGCCAGGTTTGGATCAGACCAAAGGCAGGAGCCAAGAGCTTAACTAAGGACACCTATGAGTTCAAGCACTTGAGCCATCGTGTGGTGCTTTCTGAGGCAGACTGGCAGGGAGCTGGATTGGCCATGGAGCATCTGAAACTCAAACCAACTCCCATATGGGTTTTGGCACTGTAGGTGTCACTTTAACTACAAAGCCAGAAAAGGGGTCAAAGACATCTACTACTGAGTATATATCCAAAAGGCATTAAAATATTGTATCAAAGAGATCCTATCCCATCATGTTTATGGCACCACTGTCCACTTTAGCTAAGATACGGAACCAATCTACATGTTCATCATCAGATGAATAGATGAAGAAAACTTGGCATATATACAAAAGGTAAAATAAAAGAGAGAGACCTTGCAGCAAAACACATGGAGTTGGAAGGCAACATGTTAAAGCAAATAAGACAACCATAGAAAGACAATTTCCACCCTTACATAAAAGAGCTAATAATTATACAAAAGAAAAAGTGGCCTGCACTGTGGCATAATGGGTAGAACCACTGTCTGCTGTTCTGTGATTGTGTATAAATATGCATCAGTTCCAGTCTTAGCTGCTCCACTTCTGATTCAGCTCCATGCTAATGTGCCTGGGAAAAAACAAGTACTGGCACATACTGTGCTCCTGCTCTCATGTGGGAGAGGTGATGATGTTCCAGGTTTTAAATTGATCTGACTCTTGTTGTAGCCATTTTGGGGAATGAACCAGTGGTTGAAAGATCTCTGTCTTTCCTTTTCTCTCTCTTTCTTAATCTGCCTTTCAAATAAATAAGTATTTTCTAAGAAGAAAAATAACACCAAAAAAAGAAAAAAAAAAAAACTTCAAAAGTTATAACTCACTCTGCAGATGGTGGTGATTGCTAGAAACCAGGAGAGCTGTGAGGACAGAGAGCGTCTGGATTGCAAACTTAGGGGTAGGTAGGTGTGGTTCACTGAATTGTCACAAACCTGCCCTATTAATACAAGACATTAGTAATACGATGATCTGGCTGTACTTTTCTTAGTTGCGATGAGTTTAATAATGTGTTAGTAAAAAGAAACATGTGACAATTTTCTGGTGTTTCACAACTGTCACAGATTGAAAATATTCTGAAATACAAAGCTTATTTGAAGAAAACCCTCATTTTAAAGACCACATTAACCAAAGCATCGTGTTAAAGGCACACCTGGTCATTTGCAAGCATTCTGATTCAAGTAAATGAAGAAGGCATTTGTATTTAGACAGCTTACAGTTTCAATGAGCCAATAATTTTCTAGATTTCTAAGGTTTAAAGCTGAAGCCAAGTAGCAAACTGAAAGACGTGGGGTGTGAAAATCAGGTGGTAGAACATCATTATTGCATTTCTTTCTAATTTTTTTTTTAGCAGCATGAACTCTAGGAGACATATTTTCACAGAATCTCGAAAGTAAACTCTTCTCGTTTTGTAAAGAGGAAATCAGTCATTTGTTTAAAAAAACACTGCCAAAGACAAAGTAATAGATCCAACTGTTTTACTGGTTATTGTGATTGCATCACATTTAAATAAACATTTATGTCAAGTGATAGCTTAAAAAATTAGAAACTGATTTTATCAGTAAGATTCACTGGATAGCAAGAACGTCAGAGGCATAAAGCAAAAGCAAAGTCATCAGAAAAAAAACATATAGAGAGAGGAAAAAAGTACATATCTACAAGTTCTCCCAGACAGCTATTAACTGAGTTTAATAATTGAAAGGTTGGTGTTTCAAAAACCCAAACTAGCACTACTAATATAAAGAAATGACTTATAAATTGTGCTATCTTTAGTCTAACATCAATATGCCTTAATATTCTAATTATTTTGTGTTCATGAGAATACCTGCTGAGGCAGGCAACAGTTCATGAAATAGATCTGAGACAAAAAGCCACAGGCAGCATCAGGATACTGGATGTGGAAAAGAAAAAAAAACTGACTAAAAGGCAAACTTAAAATTTAGTCATTTTTCATCTAAAAGTCCGTCCACCTGCTCTTGAGAGTGACCTTAAAATTCTTTCCCAGATGACCTGGATTCTCATCCCTTCAGAAGCAAACAATTTTATTTTGCTTAAACATGCATTTGTTGTTTTGAACTATTTCTCTTACAAATCTCCAATGGTTACTCACTTCTTTAGATATTTAATTTAAACTTCTGTAAGAGCCTTTCTTTTCCCTCTATCATCCGGTCACATTTTCAAAGTTCAAACTGATTTTTCACTTTAAGGTTCCCTTTGGCATTCTCCACGACTCTGCATCCACAAAGCTATCAAATTTTGCTTGCATCAATCCCTATTCCTGCTACAAGGATCACGGACTTGGAAGATGCTTTTCCCCCAGCCTCTTTCCATTTTATCATCTTTATCTCTTTAAGAGTTGCCTTGTGTCTTTCATATCCCAAGCAAGGTTTCTTCACCACACAAGTTCAGATTCCAACTATGCCTCGAGGATTTGCAGAAATGTTCTTTTTAAATTCTTATTATTGAGGTTCATTTACTTATTTGAAGTCAGAGCTATGAAGAGAGGAGAGACAAAGAACTTCCGTAATGAGTTCTGAACTTCAAAAGGCCTCAGGTTTGGGCTAGGCCAGGGGGAAGCCAGGATCCCAAAGCTTCATGACAGTCTCCACATGTGTGACGGGCGCCTGAGCACTTCAGGCGCCATTCACTGTCATTTCCAGGCTGTTAGCCAGGACACGAGGTGGAATTATTATACTTAACTCCAGCCCCCCAAATCTTCCTTGATAAATGACAAATGTGTTCACTGACTTCCTTAACTTCTACCTTAATATTGTATTTTCTTGGATTTATACATGCACAAATTTTATTTATTCATTTATGTTTCCTCTCAGATAGATTGAAAATTCACTGGTGAGAGAGAAATGACATATCACTCACGTGATCCACCCACACCGCTAAGCAACAGTGATGATCTATGAGCAACGTTAATCCCTAATTAAACTTTTATGAGGTTCAAAACGTTCTCAGAATTATTAAAAATATCCCTTGCTTAAAGGGAAACCTTAAATAATTATAACAAAAGATGATTTCAGAAACTTCATGACAAAACTTCTTCAACCGCAGATTCCTTTTCCTTATAATACTTTGTGACAGTTAATAAGTGCATTATTTAACTTCTCTGTTAAATGCTTTCTCTCTTTCAGACATCAATGGAGATAAAGTAGTGAATCACCAACTTGATGTATAACATATCCTGGACCATGTCACCCAACCAGCATCGTTAATAAGATTTGCATTTCTGGTTAATATCTCCAAAGGAAAGAAAGAAATTATCAGCTGCCTTGGAAATGTCATGAGAGTCAGATTTTTTATTGAGCTCATCAAAAAAAGAAATACACAAGGTTATTTTTGAATTAGCCTTATCCAACACGCATGGCCATTGTAGTTAATTAATACGGGTTACTCAATAACTAAGGTTGTTTGAGTGACACATTTTTACATTGTATATGTAAATTTATAATAGATGTAAATATATGTAACATCTATGTGTAAATATATGTAACAAAATGTGTGTGTTGCAATTGATAGCACATGTTTATTCCATCAAATGCACTAAGCAGGACCTGTCTGCTGGTGTTGTGACAGGTACAAGTATAATAGCAGGGAATAAAACAAATCTAACAGTATCCTCTTCATTCTGTTCTTCAGAACCGGCAAGGACTTTAACAACCATGGAGAAACAGGGCCAACAAGGAACCCTGTGAACAAAAACGGGGCTGGTCAATGATTTGGGGATCTTTTCATACCAAAAAATGTATTAACCTTTCTAGAAATCACATTACACGTTCTCTGTCAGTCTTCAGTGTGAGTTTAGTCATCCTCATTGGTGTTTGAGTAAAAACACAAGTGCTGGAAAAACCGGAAGCCATCTGTCTCTGCATCTAAATTTTGAAATAGAAAGCAAATGCACACCAGGTCGCGAGTCGTTCCCTCTCCATCTTCACGCCACCCT